TGTGGGACATTCCAAGTGAAATTCCCGCAACATTTTACAAGCACGAATATCCATATTAACTGCAAGGTTGCTGCTATTATAGTGAACAAAATGTAACACTTGTAAACTCGGGGCAATAACATGTACGTCAGTAATAGAAGGATAAGAACCTACCAACTGCACACAAAGCTTCTTCAAACGATCTACTTTGGGTAACAGAACAGACCTTAACGCCTTGCAATTCACCAATTTCAATTCTCTAATATTAGGGCACTTGCTAATAAACATTGACAGGGTTTCTCCAGTTAAATGGACGTTATCTAATTCTACTTCTTCCAAATTAGCAAAATTCACTTCATCACTGAACAATAGTTTATGAATTCCACATCTAGTTAGATGAACAACTGTAAGACATTTCGACTGAAAAATAAAGGGAATCGAGTAATTAATACACCCAAATCTCAGATATACCTCATGGAAATCAATTCCGTTGATCAATTTCATTAGATCGTTGATATTCTCATGATGCTTAAATTGAACACGAATTACCCTTTTCTCTGCCTTGATTAACTGAGATTGAGAGGTTTCGAGAGAAGAACGGATCCATTCCAAGAACTTGTTATGTGATTCTTGTATAACAGCAGCGGGTGTAGTTGGGTTTTTTTCAAAGAAACTGGATTCGTCAAATTCGAGAGGGAAGTATGAAGGTATGTTGCGATGCCAATTCTTGGAAACAAGGCGGGCATGAAAGAGTTGTTCAGATTTAAGGTAGGATAAGATCGAATGGAGAACATGATCGGGCAATCGGGATGTTGGATCGCCGGAATCACTATCACAAATTCTTGGTCTTTTAGCAATTTCTTCAACGTTTTCAGAAATGGGGCAGAGCTCAGCCATGGCGTGGCCTGGGAAACTGAAATCAGATGACAGAAAAACCCCCAAATCATACATCACCTTTGATTTTACACTCAAAATAAAGTACTCACACTCTCTATTTATACGACATAATTAAAATTTGACTACCGTAAATGATAGTTTTAAATATTTTGAAATTAAATTTATGTATTTATTAATTATGTAATAGATAGTTTTTGGCTAAAAACATTCTTAAATTATACCCTCAACTTAAATTACATCAAAATTATTTTTCTAACAGAAAACGTCCCTCAATTATTTAAAATTTGACAACTTTCATTATTTTGTTAAAATTTATCAAAAATATTAACAAATTCTTCACAAAAACATATACAATTCACACTACTCTCAACAAAACTCCCTAAATCACCCCAATAAACCAATTTTGTTCATTTTACATACATCTAAAATAATATTATTATTTTTGTAGCAATAACGTTTTGCATTGTCTTCCTTTTAATAGCAATTTTGTTTTTATTTACTTTTCATTTGATTTGATATTAAAGAATTATCAATGGAAATGTTTTTTTTTTCATTTTATCTACAAAAAGCGGTGTCGATCAGAGACTTTTACTTCTAATAATGGAAAACAAAACTTGAACACTAGAGATCAAAATGAGTTGAATCTTGATTAACTCAATTATCAATTTGCCTAAAAAAATTATTGATCTAATGACATTTTGACTTTGTAAGGTGAAGATTGTGTGAAATTAAGCTTCAACTTCATTCAGTTGGTAAAGGAGAAGAGCAAATCATGTCTCCTCGTAGACACACCGTCCTAACATTGTTTTTTTAACATCAAACATGAGTCTCAAATTTTTTATTTTTTGTGCGGAATTTGCTAATTTTTTGACAAATTTTAATAGAGGGATGAAAGTTCTTAAGTTTTAAATACTTGGGGATGTTTTTTTGTTAAGAATGATATTTTAAGGATGTAGTTTAAGTTGGGTATAGTTTAGGATGTTTTTAGCCAAAAACTCTGTAAAAGAAATATTAATATAAAATGATAATATAATTTAGACACTTAAAATATTTTAAAATAAAATAAATTGATTCTAACTCTCAAAATTCACATTGCGTTACATAAACACAATATATTAATTTTTGTGTTTTTTTAATTATTTATGTTCTTCAATTGCGCTTTATATTTTAAAATTCGTATGTCCGTTAATTTAGTAACAAAACTTAAAAATACGAGATATACTCTGTATTGAGATTTAGCGAACATCATTTTTTCTTTTAGAAAAATAAAATAAAATTGAGATTTACTCAATATTTTTGCATCAAAAGTACCTGACAAACTTAAAGCAAATACTTGTTTTTTCAATTTTAATTTATCTCGATACGAAAAAAACTCATATTCAGTATGAGTAAAAAAAAACTCGTATTCATTGCTAATAATACTACTAAAATATGCTAAAACTCGACATATTTCTTCTTCTTTTTTTAGGGACTCGACATATTTCATCGAGTTGTCAATGATTTTTTTTAAGAAAGAAAAACAAATGCATCGATTTATTTTTCACGCAAAAATACAAAAAAAAACTTTCATGAAAATATATTATTTTAAAAAAAAAATCAATGTTCATTTGTTAATTATTTTTAAAAAAAAAACAAAACTAATGGACAGACATTGATTTTTAAAATGCGAAATGCAGTATAAAAACATAAATAAAAATAAAGAAATCATAAAATTAGTATTTTGTGTTTAAATGATACATAAAAATAGAGTTGAAGGGTTAATGAAACAGACTCAGATAGAGTGTCAAAATGAGAAAGAATGCTCAAGTCCATCGACTTGTGATTCCTCATTTGGTTCCTAAAACATGAGATGAGCTGCTGATTCTATTCTTGGAGTGACTCAACATAAAGCTCCCAAAAACTGAACCAAAAATAAAATAAAAGATATTAAAAAAAATCATAGTAGATCTATGATTAGCCCTCAGTTGGAATGGTCATATTCAAGAACTTGATTCATGCAGAGAAAGAAACTTGGGATAGGTGTGGGCAAGTTATTTGGCCTTTAGGAAAAATAAAACAAGCCAACAATATACCGTGCAATCTCACAAGTTAGATTTCAGAAACGAACCTTACCCTAATCTCACTAAGCTTTATTCAGAGGCTTCCTTGTTGAATTATTTTCAATAGAAACATAATCCTCTTCTGCTTCCTCACAACTATTAAAAAAGGGGAAAAGGGTTAAAAATGCCCTTAACGTATCTCAAATGGTTCAAAAATGCCCTCCTTCCACCTTTTGGTTTAAAAATGCCCTCAACGTTTTTTAAGGTTTAAAATTGCCCTTTATTAACAGCACAATGACATGGCAATTGTGACATGGATTTTCTTTATCTATTTCAAAATATATGACCCACTTAGTCTAGAAATCCATTTCAAATTTGACCCGATATGACCAATTAATTTTGGATCTTTTGTTCCCGTTTGTTCTAACTCTCTTCTTTCTTCCTACCTCCTTCAGTTCGTCTTCTTTTTCCATTTCTCAGTTAATTTCAAGAAGAAAAGGAAGGAAGAACTACAAAGAATAAGGTTAGCTAAATCTTGAATTTGTTACTTGCTGACATTGAAACTTTCAAGAAGAAAATAAGATTTATCTTCCTTTGGTTCTGAAGCCTCCTGCTTCCAACTATAAACACCACCATTCAAGCTAATGACCAACCAAAAAATCCAATTCCCAAGAAAATGAGCCATAAAAACAAAAGCTTCATTTGCCATCTCCACCCACAATTTGGTCCTAGCAAAGACTCTCTGGCCTTCTTCAGCCTAAAACTTGAAGAGAAGCTCTAATTCGTGCCCAACAATTTGCAATTTACAGACATCTTTAATAGAATCCCCCTACATATCTTCAAAAAATGCCTTGAAAGCTTAGGAGCAAATCGACCCAGAGCAGAAAAGCTCATCAAAAGTCAATAATTGACCTGAATTTCAACAATTCTCAAGCAAAAACATCTCATAATTCCAACATAAAGCTGAAACTGATCAATATCAAGATTCTGCTGTAAACCCACCTTTACAAACTCCTAATCAAACTCCTAAAAAAGCAAAACATTACCTAAGTTGCAGAGTAATGGAATCAACTGCGTAAAAAATTGAAGAAACAAAAAAGTATTATCTGAAGAACATAACTAGAGGTGTTGTGATTTGCAACCCTCAATCGCCATCGTCGGATGCTACAAAAGAGGTTGAGAGTCGTCCTAAAATGGAGCTCAAAGATAAGATAGGTTAATATGAAAATGGGTTTTTGGGTGGGTTTAAGTTTTTGTAGCACAGATGGGTCGGGTCGTTGGGCTGGATTTTAAAAATTAGGTGGACCAATAAGATAAAGTCACTTGGCTAATTAAATGAGTCATCATTTATTATGTTAGTGGGCTGTTAATAAAGGGCAATTTTAAACCTTAAGAAAACGTTGAGGGCATTTTTAAACCAAAAGATGGAAGGAGGGCATTTTTGAACCATTTGAGATACGTTAAGGGCATTTTTAACCCTTTTCCCATTAAAAAAGATCAACACTACTATAAGTAAACCAAAATGATGTTTACCATCTGCTAAGGGAGTTGCTGATTTACTTCAAGAAGTGCATTCACTAGGAGTGGGGGGTTTACCTTGTGCGCACCCAAAGGGTAGCAGCTGCGGGTTTTCCTTGTCATAAAAAAGAAGAAGTGCATTCACTAGGGTACATTAATATATCCTAGCATAACTGGAACTTAAGAAAGTTGATCATGGCGAATGTGTGTCTATCATGACGAGACGACAAGTACACCAGAAGATTTCACAGGGAGAGCAAATTGGAGAAACAGAAAAATAATCACATTACTTTGTCTCAGAATTGGACTAGAAATATATCTTACCCTCAAAGGCTCAAACTAATCTCTTTCCTAGAAATTCAATAGTACCACTGTTGAACTTAAAAGGTTCACAAACTATTCTATGCCTAAATAATGAAGTACATATTTTATGAACGTTACATACAAGTATATTTTTCTTAATCTCAAGCACAAAAAGAGCTTCTTGTTGTGTCTATCCTTCTCATTTTTCAGATAGACAATACCTTCGAACAAAGATTTTTTATTCACGCAAAGCATGAAGTTAGATAAGGTAAAATATATGGTATAATTTGCATTTACTCGAAACACGTATGTCTTAAGGCAAAATATATGGTATAATTTGCATTTACTCAAAACACATATGTCTTACTACAAAGTATCTCAATTTGGCCAACAGAAAAGAGAGTGACTTAACTTCATAATTGCCAAGTAAATATGAAATTGAACTTCTTTGTCTCTTCCTTTTCATTGGTAACTAGCTCCCTAACCTTGAAATCCTTTAGGAAATGGCGCCAGCACTTGTTCTGGGTATCTGCACAGCAGTTGTCTTCCCTTCTGCTTATGAGAAACTCGTTGCAGATTCCCTGCAAATGATACGAGAAAATTATATTTAAATCCTTGAAGAGAAAATGGAAAATGAATATAAATATATGTTTGAGAACATTACAAGTGCAAATGCAGCAAAACTAGTTGGCATTGATAGAGTCAATACATTTGGATGAGACATCCAAAGTAAGTTATCAATTATATATTTCAGCAAGCACCCATGGGATTCCTCTGGAACTTTGAACCTTATGTCTAGCTTTAAGTGTCCGATATGAGGTACCACTTGTGTTGGAATTCGTCCAATTGATATGCTCCACAATTTATGCCCTCGTTTACCCAGTGCAGAAAAACTTGTCTTCATCATTCATGCATTGTAAGAAGACAGACGTCTAGTCAGTACGATGGAAATAACAGTGATATGTTAAAAGATCTAAAGTATGTTCATGTACCTGATCACGAATGGTTAAGGCCAATCCAATACGGTTGTTGAGTTTTGTAAGATGACTTCTCAATTGGAGGAACCAAGCTCTATTGATCTTCTCAACATGAGGAACCAAAGAAATGCCGATGGTCTTCAACAACTTTCGAGTTTCACTCGGAGCTAAAGATGATTTAAATGTTCTACCGACGTATTGGAAAGAACATAAATTTGGAACTGAAACAACACTTTTCCTTGAATAATTATAATTATACAGTTGTGTGAACATTAAGGTTAATTTCCTAAGTGATGGACTCGAAATTTTGACACGCTTAGACGTCTCACAAGGACCAAGGATCAGATTTTCAAGATGAGGAAAATCTGAAATGAAGTGTTCATGATCAAAACCAACCGGAAATGTGGGACATTCCAAGTGAAATTCCCGCAACATTCTACAAGCACGAATATCCATATTAACTGCAACATTGCATCTATTAAATTGAACAAAATGGAACACTTGTAAACTCGGGGCAATAACTTGTACGTCGGTAATAGAAGGATAAGAACCTACCAACTGCACATAAAGCTTCTTCAAACGATCTACTTTAGGTAACACAACAGACCTTAACACCATGCAATTCACCAATTTCAATTCTCTAATATTAGGGCACTTACTAATAAACTTTGACAGAGTTTCTCCACTTAAATTGACGCTATCTAATTCTACTTCTTCCAAACAAACAAAATTCGTTTCATCACTAAACAAATGCTTATCAATTCCACCTCTAGTTAGATGAACAACTCTAAGACATTTCGACTGAAAAATAAACGGAATCCAGTAATTAAAACACCCAAATCTCAAATATACCTCATGAAAATCAATTTCGTTGATCAATTCCAACAAATCGTTGATATTCTCATGACGCTCAAATTGAACCCGAATTATCCTTTTCTCCGCCTTTTTTAACTCAGATTGACAAGTTTCGAGAGAAGAACGGATCCATTCTAAGAACTTGTTATGTGATTCCTGTATCACGTTAGAGGGTGTATTTGGAGTGTTTGATTCCTCAAATTCGAGAGGAAAGTATGAAGGTGTGTTGCGATGCCAATTCTTGGAAACAAGGCGGACAGTAAAGAGGTCTTGAGATTTAAGATAGGAAAAAATCAAATGGAGAACATGATCGGGGAATCGGGATGTTGGATCGTCCGAATTTGTATCAGAAATTCTTCGTTTTTTAACAATTTGTTCATCTGTTTGAGAATTGGGGCAGAGTTCAGCCATGGCCGTCGCCTGAGAAAACAAAGAATGAAAATCTTAATTTATAACCCTAACCCTGCCCCAACTAAGATTCAGAGAATCTAGATGACAAATAAAAAAACCCAAATCATTCCTTAGACTCGGAAATAATAATCCTGCCGTTTTAATTTATGAAACAATTGAATACCGGTATTCAAACTTTTGAATTTCAATTGTGATTCCGATATAAAAAATTTTAAATAAAATTATCTATTTAAAAATTATATAAAATAATATAAATTATAATAATTAACAATTTATTTATAAGAAAAGTTTAACCAAATAAAAATTTAATTAACTCTTGAGATTCATATCATGACTTGTAAATTGGGACAAAAAAGTACATATTATTTCAGCATTAATAGTCCTTATTCGTTATTAAAGTGGAGCAGTTTTATTCGTAACCATAACTAGGATTAGTTTTTTAGCAGAAACTATTTTGCATGCGTGTCATGTTAATTTATTTGTCACCCTTTAATCGCATCTAAAATAAATAAATAAATCGATTTACTTCTTTTTATGGATAGAATTTCCTTTTCATTATGTTTTTATCTTGATTTTGCCAAACATACTTATACTCTAGTTATTTATTGAGAAATTAAACTAAGACATGAGTATTCCTGAATTATGATTGAATTTTTAGAGATATATTTTATTTTACTATCCTTAAACTGTTTAAAAGTGTGATTATTGGGCCCGTAAAACATAACAATCAATTTCTGTGTCATTTGTCCATTTTTATATCATTTTGAGTAAGTTATATTTTAGAGCAACTTTCACATATAATAAACACAAAATTTATATTTGTATGTTATAGCAAAATTTGCATAATTGCGCTCCATAGCAAATATATATATGTATAATTCGCTACACATATACAAAAAAAAAAAGTTGATTCGCTATACATATACAAAGAAGACAGTTGTATAATTTGATATACATATACAAAAGAAAGCAGTTGTATACAAAAGATCAATTCTATAATTTGTGTATGTATAAAATGAGAAAGAGAGAAAGGTAAAAGAAAATTGGGCCGGAAAATATTTGTATTATATAATTATAAGTATATAGGACAAAGATATATGTATTTGCATGTGTATATACAATTTTCTCTGGCTTTATACAAACAGAAGCGCAATTTATACATTTCGTTTCTGTTTGTATAAGCGAGAGAGGCAAGGGTGGCGAGCAAGATTTGGGAGAATGGCGAGCGAGATCTGGGAGAGGGGAACGGAAATATATGTATATATACAATTTTTCTCTCGCTTTATACAAACACAAACACATTTTATACATTTGTGTTTGTATAAAAGCGAGAGAGGCGAGCGAGACTGCCACCAAAACGAGAGTGGCGAGCGAGATTCCACCAGGGAGAGTGGCGAAAATAGCAATAGTTTGCTATAGGGTACAATTAAATTAAAGTATATTTATAGCATTTAATTTGGATTAATAGTTTGCTATTATATACAATTTTTCCTATATTTTATGTAGTCTTTTTCTACATTACTAGTTTTTTAATGTTTTATAACTTAAAAGGAAAATTTCATAAATAGCTACCATAGGAATTAGGAAACATAGTAGGCTTTTAAACACTCCGACAAAAATTAACCAACTGGGCTGCACCACTAGTAGAAGGCCCAGTAGTATGATCTGCAACTTGATCAGGTGGGCTTGCTGGTTCCAACTTCCAATACATTAACAATCATTTTTAGGCCCCTCTCACAATGGCCCGAAACTCCACTAATGAAATAATTTTGTAAAAATTAAAGGAATCCCATAGTGTAAGATCTAAATTACATCTTATCCCAACTAATTTTCATTTTACAAAAAATCCCTTTAAAAGGTAGGCTCCAGATACATAGCTAACATTCTGATTGATTATATCGGATACAAGGTAAACAAATTATTATTGCGCTAAAAAAGGAAAAAAAAACATAAAAATTAATTGATAATTTAATTTGCTTGATTTACGCCTAACTGATCCTAAACAATCCATATACTAATAGGTAATCCACTCAGACATTACAAATTTCAAAATTACATCTTCTCCATTGAAGAACAATTTTGGAACATCCAGAAGATTTCGAAACAGTGAGAATTTCGAATAAAACTCGGAAAATTTCTTGATACATGATGAATATATCTATTTTGCTGAGTCATTTAGGAATTTGGGTGAGCGAAGTGAATTATGAAGGCTACAAAAATGACGGAATCGTTGTTGGACAATCAATTTCATTATTGAATCTCAAAACAGCAATTTCAACCGAGTTAGATATCAATGTATCAAGGAAAAATATTGAAATTCGATACATCGTAGAAGGTAACTCGTCTACGATGAAAATTAAGAACGACATGGGTGTTAAACTATATTTAAAAGTGAAAAAGAGTGAGCCAGGATTTGCAATGTATCCATTATGCATTGATACAAGTGAGAAGATTGGTGGTGATATACATAACTTTGATGGAACATGCGGAGAAATTACGTGTGTAAAAGGCACAACACAGGATACAGAAGCTCTTGCAGTGGTTGAATCAAGAATTTGTGATTCGTATTATAATCCAGAATTGGAAGTTACAAATTATATAATTGATTCAAAAAGTATAGAGGTAAAGACAAGTCAATTATATAAGGATAAAGCAACACTCGTAGATGTGATGGCGAAATATAAGATAAAGAACAACTTCAATTGCAAAGTAAAGATATCTGATAGACAAAAGTATGGGAGTATTTGATCTGTTTTGTGAAGAACCGTGTTTGATTTTTTTAGATCTATAAATGGTGATACATTTATTTTGTTTATTTGTATGATACATTATTATTTTTAGAACTTGTATGATGGTGATGTTGATTTTTGTTTAATTTGTTGATTATGATAACTGATATATTGATAATGATACATTATTTGTGAAGATACATTTGTTGATATATGAATGAAGTGCTGAAGAATTGAGTAGCATCCGTTATGTATCAGATACATTCTATAATTTTGATGCGTTAAAACATAAAAAATTATATTACGTGCAACGTGTAATTTTTTTTTAATCTGATACCTAAATCTAAACTAAATTAATTGTGTTGGTCGTTAATATTGTTGATACATTAAGTTAATATTGTTGATACATTTAGATAATACTGTTGAAACATTAAATAATTTAGTCGCAACAATCATGTAGCCGATACATTCTAAAATTTTGTGATATGTGGATAATTAATATTTTTTTTGTGAATCTGATACATAAAACTACACTAATACATATGGATCTGGATCCATATGTATCAAGAAGAAAAACTGAAAAAAAAAAAAAAAAAAAGTAAAGGAAGAAGATGAAAATTGATATGACAAACGTTTGAAAGGGGAGTGAACGGAGAAGAAGAAGTTTGAAACTGGTTGAACAGAGAGAGAAGATTTTTGAAAATCAATTTTGGATATTGATTTGTAACTGATAAATTCTTGGAGTGAATTTAGGGAGAGAAAAAAAGGAGTTAAATAGGGAGTGGTGAACGTGGATTGTAGAAGTGATTTATGTATCTGGAAGTTTTGATATTTAAGAGAAAGAAGGGATTTAAGTAATATTTTTAAAAGGTAGGGAAAAATAGACAATAAGAAACTTAAAGTTGTGTATTTAAGTTATTTTTCCAATAAGTTTTTCGTAATGTATACAAATCAAATGTATCAACATTAGGGGTACATAGCCGGTTGGTTCGGATTTTTCAAATATCAAATCAAACCATTTGTATCGGGTTTTTAAATTTATAAACCAAATTAAACCAATAAAACTCAGGTTTTTTCGGATTTTTCGGTTTTTCGGGTTTTTCCGGTAAAGTATTTATACAAACATATAATTTACTTGTACTTCAAATATTTCTTTAGTCCTCTACCAAAAATACAAATATCTAAGGTGTTTCTTAAGAAAATAACACAAAATATGATATGATTAATGACACTAAAAATATCCAACAAAAAAAATAATAATGAAATCGCGTAAAACAAATATTGCAAATTATTAAGTCATAATGAAAATGATCATAATTTAAGAGTACTAAATCATGCTAAAATAAGTTTAATAAGTATTAGTTACATGACTAAATATTAAAGGAATTAAAATTAGATTATGTATTTTAATTGCCTAAACCTATGTAAAACTAAAGAACAAATATTCAATATTATTGTCATTCTTAGTGTTGAATTAATTTTCTTTTTGCATTAGTATTAATTTGATTTTGATTTAAGCTTTATTATAATTACCAACATCCATGGACTATAATCTTTACTGAACCATTAAGAATTCTAATTTTCAAACATGAAATAATATATTAAAAGATAAAAATTATGAAAAAGTAAGAAATATTTAAAAATTATATCAAAGTAAATATTTTTACGTATAAAATAAAATTTTAAAATTATATATATAATGTCGGGTTGGTTTGGTCTCGGATTGGTTTTTTTAGTTGAAACCAAACCAAACCGAAATATAGTCGGGTTTTTTTTTTCTAATACCAAACCAAGTCAAACCAAACCACTAGTCGGGTTTTATTTTTCGGTTTGACTCGGTTTTTGGTTGGATTTTGTACACCCCTAATCAACATAATAATTATATACAAGTTAGGGTAAGCATATACAAATTCTGGACTTATACCATTAGAAAAATATAATATCGCATATGGTCACTCAACTTTTAATACTTCACTTAGAAAGTCACTCAATTTAGGCTTGTTCACTTAGAAAGTTACTCAACTTTGTTTTATAACTCAAAAGTAACTCAACTATTGATATTTCACTTAGAAAGTCACTAAACTATTAATATTTTATTTATATAGTCACTCAATCAACTTAAATGTTTTATCGACCCACTCTAATTATTTAATTATATTTTTCTTCTGAAAAACGTACCGTAGCGATTGACAAAAAAAAATAAATTCTCTTTTCTATTCCAGCAATTGTCTAACTGGAACTAATGCAGAAAAATGATATTTTTTTTTAAAATGTTGGAATCAAGAAGTTAAGAAGTAATCCAAATAAATAAAAAAAACTGTAGCAATCTTATTATTTTTTTAAAAAAATAGTTCAAAACAAAAAATATATTTTAAAAAATTTAATAAAATAATTAAAATGAGCATCTTATTAATTTTTAAAAATAAGTTTAAAACAAAAATTGTATTTTAACAAAATTTAATTTAAAAACATTTAAATTAGTTGAGTGACTTTGTACGTAAAATATCAATAGTTGAGTGACTTTCTTGATGAAATACTTATAATTAAGTGACTTTTGAGTTATAAAACAAGGTTGGGTGACTTTTCAAGTAAACTACTCTAAGTTGAGTGAGTTTATAAGAGCGATTGAAAGTTGGAGCCTTATGTCTAGCATTAAGTGTTCACTTGCATTCGTCCAATTAGTATGCTCAATTCAGAAAAAAATGTCTTCATCATTCATGCAGAAATAACTGTGATATATATTAAAAGATCGAAAGGATGTTCATGCATGTACCAGATCATGAATGATTAAGGCCAACAATTAATTTTTGTAAGGTGACTTCTCAAGCTCTATTGATAGATCTTCTCAATTAGGGGAACCAAAGAAATGCTGATGAGTTTCACTTGGAGCTAAAGATGATTTAAATGCATGACATAACATAAATTGGGAGCTGAAACAACACTTTTCCTTGAATAATTATAATTATACAGTTGTGTGAACTTTAAGGTTAGTTTTCTAAGTGATAAACTTGAAATTTTGACACGGTTGGATGTCTCACAAGGGCCAAGGATGAGGAAAATCTGAATGAAATGAAGTTTTCATGATCAAGACCCACAGGAAATATGTTACATTCTACAAGCACGAATATCCATATTAACAACAACGTTACTGGTATCTTAGTGAACACTTGTAAACTCGATCGGGGAAATAAATTTTACATCCGTAATACAAGGATAAGAATCCGCCATTTGCACATAAAGCTTCTTCAAACGATCTACCTAAGGTAACCAGGCAGAAATTCTATCAAGGGGGTTCAAATAAAATAAATGTTGTTGCCTGGAATAGAACCTGTGACCCAAAGCTCACATTGGCGAAATCCTGAACCCCATAAACCATTGAGCTACTCCTTTGACATATGGTTCAATTTTAAATATATACACGTACACAAAAAAAATTGATCTTATATATATAGTGTAAATTTTTTTCCGAGGGGGTCGGATGACCCCCCTGGACACACTCTACATCCGCCACTGTTAAGGTAACAACACTACACACCTTAGCTGATTGCAATTCACCAATCTCAATTCTGTAATATTAGGGCACTTACTAATAAACTTTGACAGATTAACTCTATTCAATTCAACTTCTTCACCACTGAACAAATGTTTATAGATTTGACATCCAGATAGCTAGCTAGGTGAAGAAGAACTTTAAAGACATTTTGAGTTAAAACTTAGGATACCCAAATTTCAAATATACCTCATGGAAATCAATTTTCTTAGTAACTTCAAAAAAAGAAGATATTTGCATAAATCAACGTTAATGATGATCATAGATAGTGTAATGAAAAATTTAAACATCCAATGTCCGTTTAATATGTTATAACTTATAACAAGTCACTTATCATTTATTAAAGATTTATCAATCAATGCTATTAAATTGTCCAAAAAAACATGACATTAAATAGAAATAGCAATTATCTTATAAGTAATGTGAATGGTATAATAATTTATTGCACCAGACTTTAATTGATAACGTAAGAAGAATGGTGGGACTCGCCTCGAGGCTCTAGCAAAATGCTCCAAGACTCATCTGGACGCTCAACTCGAACCTGCAATAGTACTATTGATATATTTTTATTATTTTGTATTATTATATTATTATACTATATTGTAAATTAAAAATTTACAAATTCATAAGGCTTGCGCCTTGCTTAGTATTCATAGGGCTTATGCCTCGCTTATACTAAATAAAACGCACTGTCTCACGCCTCCCCCTTTTAAAACATTGCAATCAAACATAATCATATTGATATTCTTTTAATTGCACACAACTCTCACACATAAAACTAGAGAAAGATTAAGGTAACGTTAAAAAAAAACGAATTATTTCAAAAGCCAAAATAACAAGTAAGATCCAAGCAATTAATTAATGATAATAAGTTCTAAAAACCTAGCTACCCCACCCACCTCCCCCAACCTAGCATCACACTACCTAAACAAAAACCTAAATACCAAAACAATTTTTTTTTTTTTAGAATTTATAAACTAAATAAAAATAGCTCCAAATAATGAAACCACCAACACCCCAACCACATTAGCCAATTGGGCTGCACCACTAGTAGAAGGCCCAGTAGTATGATCTGCAGCTTGATTAGGTGGGCCTGCTGGTTCCAATACTTTAACAATCATTTTTAGGCCCCTTTCACAATGGCCCGATACTCCACTAATGAAATAAAACAGGCCGGGTCGATCCAATTTGAATTCGGATTTCCCATTGTTCGAAAAATAAATCGGGTGCACCGATTTGCACTTCTCGTACTCTTCTTGTGTCACAGCCAACACCGAGTCCTTTTTGTACTCAAATGCTACATAAACATGATCGAGTTAATTTATATACACTGACAGTATTAATATAATATAATTTTACAACAAAGAGATGAGTACGACTACTTACTTAAAGTGTCGTTAACCTTGAACCTATTTTTGGCAGCCCATTCATTGTATAGTTGATCATCTTTAGGTATGATCCATCCTTTGTCACCACCAACAGTAAATTGAGTGGAAAAAACAGTGAAGAAATGAAAAGAAGAGAAAAAGACCAAGTATAGAAATGCTTTGGAGGAAGTCATGATGGAAGATTTAAGTTTTTTTTTGTTTTTTTGGAGTAGAAAGTATATGGTTTAGTTGTGAATTGTGAGTTTGAGATGTGAATTATGGCTCATTTGATTGTTTAAAAAGGAGAAGTAGTTATGTTTTTTGAGTTATTGGGGGAGAATTTTGGGGTGCATGCCTTGTGGAATTAGTTAATGGGGGAAGGAAGTTAGCAAAATAATAATTAAAAAAACGTTTAAGGGGAAGTTCTTCATTTGACTCGGTATTACTGTTTTTCAAACGTCATTTTTTTTTCCAAGTAATTGCTGAAAATTAAAATTAATTTAACCTGATCATTATCTATCTAGCTAGGTTATTCGCAAAGATATAATTTCAACTTTATAGGTTATAATGATAATTTGGTTCTAAATTTAATTTTTGGATATTTTTGATGAATTTATTAATACAACTATATTATTTAAACATAATTTACTAAACTTGAAAAACCCGTATGCAAACTACTAACTTCGCGCACACTGATTATTCATAAAATAAAAAATAGGTTGCTAGAAAACTTAGTTGTTCATTTTTCTACGGTGAGAAGTGATGTTCTGTTTACACTTTTAAGAGAAAATATTAACAACATTTTTTTCTTTATCTTCCTTTTTTTCGTTTTTTTTAAACATCTTCTGTTTACATGGGTCCCTTTTTAATTTAATTTATTTTGTTAGTAGAAAATGATAACTATATTACTCCAACAAGTATTAATATGCATCGTCATTTCGGAAACCACGAAATAACTGGAAGCAGTTTAAATTTGAAGGACTATTAAGTGACCGTTTGGTTAGAGGATTACTAGAGATTATGTTATCATAAAATTTGGAATTAAACTTCTTATATGTTTGTTTGTAAATTTGTGGGTATTAGCTAAAATCAGGATAAATTTATACTAAAATTATGATTTTTTTATCCCGCTGCGGCGCCCATTTGGACATGGCGCTCTCAAATTTTTTTTCTTCATACCTAGGAATTAACCCGAGACATCTGGTTGAGAGTGAAGCAATCTCATCACTGCACCACAATTCATGTTGGTGGTCATATGAGACATGTGATCAGGGATATTAAAAGGGTCGGTTGCACCTAATTTGGACGGGTTAAAATGTGTTAAGTTAATAAATGAGTGGGTTTGGATAAAACAAAAAAATAAATTAAGTTAATAAATGAGTATGTTATTGACCCGCCCAATAAATACTTGAGCTGAAATGGATTTGAAAAGGGGTCATAACCCACCCGATTGATTTTTACTAAGTTTTAATTACTTTGTTTGTCTTTTATAATATTTAGTACCTAATAAAATTAATTTTTGCCTTTATTATGACTATATATAAATAATCAAATTTTAAAAAAAAAGTCTTCTTGAAACAAATTTAACAAAAAATTTCATGAATCAATTTGGGCGACATATCAACCAATTTTTGGATGGGCCGTTCAAAATAGGGTAGAGCTAATATAAATGGATCAATAAGCTAACCAAATGAAGGAATTGAGCGGATCATATTTTTATGGACTAATTTTTTTTATCCTTAAGGTCATTTGTGCGCTATTTTTGTGTTGGTCATTAATAGAGTTGTCAAAATGGGTTGGCCCAACCTTAATGGGTTAGAGAATTAAACGGGTTAGAACGAGCTGGCCCTTTTAATTAAAGAGTCTATAAAATAGCAGCCCAACCCAACCCTAAGCGGGCTGTAGGTTGGGACGGATTGACCCTTCAATCAAAAAATGGACAACATTGACCTCTTAGAAAGAGTATCGAATGTTGATGTCTGATGAATATGACATCAATTCATACAAAAATTCATTCATGAATTACACATACTTCAGTGAATACTTACAAAACAAAAATATAATATCCAAGATACAACATTCATAAGATTCATCCGAGCAAAAAACATTACGTGATCACTATTTTCATAAACAAGACAATAAAGGAGAAGTGGAAAATTAGGTGTAAAAACAAAAAGTAGAAGAGGTCAGAGATTCATAGTTATAATGGAGTAATGGACTTAGGCTAATAAAAAAAATTAGTGGGCTAATGACCCTAAAATGTAAAAGAAATAAAAAATAGTTAACTTGATTTTATATTGATATTTTAAAAATATTTATTGACAAAATCTTAACAAATAAAATACTACTTAAAATATATATAATAAATATTTTTAAAATTTACAGCCCTGACCTCTGAAGTTTGCGGGTTGGGCCTACTAGGCTAACTGGCCAAATGAGGCATGGGCTAAGAAGTCTTGTTCCTAAATGGGTTAAACAAATTAAGTTCAACCCCACTTAATTCAAGGGTTGGGTTGGACCGTACCCACTTTTAAGTGCAAAAATAAATAACTTTTAAGGTAAGAGCAAACCGTGCAATTTCTTCCGGATATGAATTAATATTCGGCAGCTCTTTTCTAAATAAATAAGTACTAGAGTTTAATTTAATTACGTTGTCTTGTTTAGGTTACTCAAAACAAATCGGAAACGTTTTCTATTTTTTTGCCCAAAGTTTTAAAAGGTTATTTTTCCTTCAAATAAATAATGAGTTCTTGTTCTAGTACTTACCATCATATTGATTAGGGTTTCACTTCCCACATAATGTCTGAATACTTCTCCCCCTTCCCCATGTGTCAAACAATTGATGAACAAATCATCAAAAAACCAAAAAAAATTCATACTAATTCACTTGATCCAACGTTACAATTGCCTGATCATATTCTCCATTCCATATTTTCTTACCTAACATCTCAACATCTAATTAATGTCCGTCTTGTTTCCAAGACATGGCACAAAAACTCACCCTTATACTTTGTTTTCAACTTTAACCAATCCCTTTTCTTTAGTAAAGGATTCTCAATTGACATCTTACAACAAATGCGTAACAACTACATGGAATGCATCCATTCTTCTCTTGACACTAGTAAAACTCACTTACGCAACGCTGAAAATCGTATATTGCACGTTCAATTTAATGATCAAGAGAATGCATATGAAATACTGAAATTGATGGACGAGAATAATTTCCATGAGATATATTTAAAATTCGAAGATTGTAGGTACCACTTGCCGTATATGTTTCAATCAACATGCCTTACTGTTCTTCATCTAAGTCGTTGCACCTTAGATCATCCACATGTACTTTTCCAAGGGGAAGGAAAATTATATTCTTTACAAGAGTTGAAATTGGATTGTGTTAAGGTAAGGAAAAATACTCTATCTATGTTTATTAGTAAGTGCCCTAATATTAGAGAATTGAGTTTGGTGAGTTGCTTTAGTCTAAAGTCAATAGTGTTACCTAAATTAGACCGTTTGAACAAGTTTTACGTGCAATTTATGAGTCCTTTTTCCTATATTATCAACGTACAAGTTATTGCACCAAATTTACAAGTATTCCATTTTGTTTATCGTGGTCAAAGAGAAGATGTAGTCAATATGGATATTCGTGCTTGTAGAATGTTGTGTGAATTTCACTTGGATTGTATGAAATTTCCTAATGGGCTAGATCATGAAAATTTCTGCTCAGATTTTCCTCGTCTTGAAACTTTGTTAATGGGTCCTTGTGAAGCAAAGAAGACTGTTAAAATTTCGAGTTCATCCCTCAGAACGTTGTTCTTGTTCTTCACACGGATGCATGAGGATTCGAGAACTCGTGTAGTTTTTGCTCCCAATTTATCTACCTATGAATGTGTAGGTACAACATTTAAACCATTCTTAAATCCAAGTGATGCACCAAATCTTTTAGAGACCAAGATTGGACTAGCATATCATGTGAAGAAGATCCATAAACCTTTGACGTTCATCAATTTGAGAGATCGTCTTAAAGATTTTAGCAATAATATTGGACTTTCTTTGTGCATTCGTGATGATGATGATAACGACGAGGTACATGAACAAACACCCTCTAAATATTTTAATTCATAGCTTAATTTGTTTGTCTTTACTTTCATCACATAAATGCTATATTATGCTTTTTCTATTATATTCTGTTATGTATAACACGTACATTTTATCCTCTTCAGAACTTGTTATGCCAAGGTGAAGGTGAAACTTTACAGAGCAAAGTAATTGAACGAGCACAAACACCTCCACTATATCATATCAAACATGTATTACTAGATATGAGCAAGATCAAAGTTCGATATGAATATTTGATGAAATATATTATGAATGAATTATTTTGGATGTCCCATCCAGACACATTGATTCTATTGGTACCGTCTCGATTACAACCAATGGCAAATGTAATGTTCTAAATCTTGATTTTTTCAATTTATGATTCTATAATATTTACTATCTTAATCTCAACATTTTTGCTAATTTTGTACAGGATTTCATCGAGGAATTGAAAAGCATACAAGAAGGAAATTGTAGCTGTGAAACTATGGACAAGTGTTGGAGCCATTTTCTAAAAGATTTACAAGTTTGTTGTGTAGAAAACATAATTAGTGTAAAGGACGAGGTGGAGTTTGTTTTCAAATTTACATGGCATCAATTTCATTAGTTTGGTCAATTAGTTATATGACGTAGTTAAGATTTCAAAAGTCAGCCTTCTCTATTTTGATTGTGCATTTGGACATCAATTTACAAATAACTATTGTTGATTAGTAAATCTTTATAAAATTATGTGTATTTAAAAGTTTTTAGTCACACATTTATTTATAAAAGAAACATCGAGATATGTGATTTATCAATGTGACGTCTTAAGATATTTCAATATCTTGTTTATGAACTATATATATATATATATATATCTACCAAATGAAAAGTAAAAATCATTCTCTACTAAAATGTATTGACGTTTGACTTAGGTGGAAACAAACTTTTAATGTGATATAATTGGGGGACAAGGATGGGAACTTCAGAAACCAGGGTATAATCTTGTCAAAGACTGAATAGTTAAGGAACAAAAAGCTTGATTTCCTCATTTCTGTAGAAACTCTATGTAACATGGTTTTGTATCTTTATTATATTTCAGTCAGTTCAAAGTGACCAGTGGGGTGCTGATACTGCTACTAGCGGAATATATGAGACTGTTCGCTCCGAAGTGAGGCGTGCTATTTCCGATATTCAGTCTGACCTTGAAGATGTAAGTTCCAATGGTATCAAAAAGATTGTAAAAGAATTGATTTATTTTTTTTAGTCTTCACAACTTGTGGGTTTTCATATTTATGAGAAAAAAATAGTATAACTTTAAGAAAATCTAATTTGCTTGTCTAAACAAAATTTCAATAGCAAATCAATCTAATTTTAAATAATGATTTCATATCGCATGTCCAAATGGGTCATAAATCACAAAAATTAACAACTTAAAATAGAGCACATAAATCACAATAAAAGATTTTCTTATTTGACTTTTAAAATTAACTATGTCAAGTAAATTGAGACCCGAATAGGACTATATATTAACAAATCTTCCACAAGGATTTACTCCTAAAGTCCTAGTCCAAGTAATTGTTTCCAGCTGGATTTTTTCTCCAGTTTTTCCTTAATAATTCCTATGTGAAAAAGAACATAAATCAATTGGAAAATACTCTGCACCAAATTGCCTTTTTAATTAACAGACAATTAATATTGTATCTACACAACTTTATTCCAAAACAAATGGAGAGAAAACTTGGGCCCCAATTTTCGATTGCTTGTCAAAATAACTTTTAGTTAAAAAAAAAAAGTTACTTATATTGTACTTGTATATAGTTGTTGAGAAAATATTAATAAATTGGGCTAAAGTTAGGGTTTATATGATTTGTGTTTTTTCAATTCCCCACCATGGCTATGTCTCAAACAGTTGATTTTCGTACTAATTCGGTCGATCCAACGTTAGGATTGCCGGATCATATTTTACATTCGATATTTTCCTACCTAAGTTCTCACGACATAGTTAATGTCCGTCTTGTTACCAAACATTGGTATCGAAACACCCCATTTCTCTTGTCTTTGGATGAGTCTATTTTCTTATTAGAAAATAAACGTAACATGAAATTCTCGGATTGGATCCTTGACTCTCTTGAGACATCGAAAAGTATGTTAATTAAGGCTGAGAAACGGATATTAAGCCTTCGATTTATTTCTTCTCATGATGATCATAATGTTAAAAATCTTATGAGATTGATGGACGAAAACGATTTCCATGAGGTGTATTTGAAGTTAAAGAATTCTTTTTACTATTTGCCTTATACTTTTCAGTCCACATGTCTTAGTGTTCTTCATTTAAGTTGTTGCACACTTGGTGAATATGTGCTCAATGGTGAAGCTAAATTTTCTTCTTTACAAGAGTTGAAATTGGATGGTGTTAGGTTTTATGGAGAATCTTTGTCAAGGTTTATTAGTAAGTACCCTTGTATTAGAGAATTGAGATTGGTGAATTGTGAGAGACAATGGAGGAGCTATAATAAGCCAGAAATGTTTATAGTGTTGTCTAATTTAGACAATTTGGAGAAGCTTTATGTGAAGCACTATGATTATATGAAAAGTATACAAGTTATTGCTCCAAATTTAAAAGTATTTCACTTTGTTTACCCTAGTGATTGCAACAACAATGCAGTTTACATGGATATTCGTGCTTGTACAATGTTACAAGAATTTCACTTGGATTGTGGGAGATTTCCAGTCGGTCTCAATGAAGACTTATGTTCAGATTTTCCTCATCTTGAAACTTTGTATTTTGGTTGTCAGACACGAAAATATACCAAAATTTCAAGCCAATCACTTAGAACTTTGACCTTATCTTTTACCAAACGACTTGAAATTTCTACTCCCAATTTATCTTCTTTCAAATACATAGGTACACAATATATACCTTGTTTAGCACCAAGTGATTCTTCAAAGCTCGTAGAGACCAGGATTGAACTACTTATTAAAGCACCTACGATCAATAATGTTTGGTTCAAGAAATTGATAATTCACCTTAACAATTTCAGCAACAATATGGTATTGTCCTTGTGCATTTGGGATGAGGTACGTACATATTTTAATTTTAATGAATACCTAGCTATTCGTCTATGAGAATTATTCACTTTTTTTTTCTTCGAATGATATAGATCACAAAGTTTTCTGAAATGGACAAACGTGGACTACAATGGTGGATTCCAACACAATTGCTACATCATATTGAACACTTAGAGCTAGACATGACAAAGCTCAAATTAATTCGACATGAATTTTTTATGAGATTTGTAATTGATAGCTTACTTAACATGTCTCATCCAAAGACATTGACTCTATCAATATCGTCTTATTTTCCTACATTCGCACATGTAATGTTCTCTAAAACACATATATTTATTTTTCGTTTTATATTTACTATTTTAAATTAATATTAATTCGTCTTACTTATGATTTGCATAGGGAGTCTGCAAAGAATTTGAAAGAAGAAGAGAAGGCAATTGTTGCTCAGCAAATAGGAACAAGTGTTGGCGTCATTTTCTTAAAGATTTTGAGGTTAATGAGCAAATTACTAAAGATTATGACATCCTCAAGTTCCTTTTTATATTTACTTGGTAGTAATTTTTTAGTTAGTTCATCTAAGAATAGGGAGAGTATTTCTTTTCTTACCTTTTTATTTTATTTTATAGTAATTTGGTGTTTTATTTCCAATTAGTCTTAGTATACATTTTAATTTTATGATCATGCATTTATAACTTTATGAGCTTCTCTGTTATAATCTTGAGACTAATTTATCTCGCCTTCTAGGTGAGATAAAACAATTTTAAGTTTGTGATATGAACTTATATTTAGATTAGTTATATTTTCTATCAATTCCAGCGAGACTCTTAACTTTGGTGGACATGTATAGTTATCTGGTACTTGATGTTGATGTGAAGTGACAAGTATCTTGTGAAATTAGTTGAGGTGTGCGAAAGCTGATTCGAATATCATGATTATCAATATATATATATTTAATTCTAAAATATCTCACCTTATCTCATAAATCAAACATCCCGAATAAAGTATAAAATATGGTTCTTCTTTCTTCTAAAAAGGGGAAAATATTTTATCGTAAGAGACAAAGAGTAGAATTATTTATTAGTCAATCGCTATTAGCCTATAACATAAAAAAGTTTGACGTATACACTCATATTTATTTAGCATACAACTACCCTAAACATATTTATGTTTAATTTTCTAATGGTATGTGTGTTTTTACTGTAATGGTTAAGTCAAAGAAAATTCGGAGGTATTATGTTCAAACGAATATTGTAATTTCGTTTTATCTTATAGTCAATTTTTTATGGAGAATGATTACATGTATTAGTGAGGTGAAAAATACCCTATGAGTCTATGACATTAATTGGAAAATGCACAATCTGACCCGAATATTAAGATTATCAAAGAAAATGTTTAAGTCAAAGAAGTGAGGAAGATAATGAAAGTACAATTTTTCGATCGATGATAATGTATATATTTCTCCGTATTTTAGAATGTATGTACTTATTTAATTTTATAAAATTTAAGTATTTACTTGTATCATGTTAACTCAAATCAAATTAAAAGACATATTTATATATAATGCCTTTAAAAACACCATGGAAGTGTGTTACTTTAAGGGTCATTTGCATTATTTTTTCTTTAATTAGTTATCTGTACCAATTTATAAAACTCATTTTTCTTTTTACTCAATCTCAAAATGAATGACACATTTTTATATTAAATATCAATTTACAAATATTTATGACTTATTTTACATCATAAATTTCAATTTTTTAAAACTTTTTTTTTTATATTTCGTACCGAATCAAACTACATCACATAAATTGAGATGGAGAAAATACTAACATTTAAATAATTTATTTTAATATTAGTAGTTAGCACCGAAATAAATTATCTCAATCACATTATGAAATAATATTTACCAAAATAACCAATAGAAAAATAATGTTAAAATAACTAATGTTAAAACTTAAAACCAAAGGACCCATTATCTATTTAATAATAACGGGTTTATTTAGAATCATCTACAAATGAAGGGTAAAGTTATCTTTTATTCTCGAAAGTTAAATCTGTATTATTTTTGCCCTTTCAAAAATTAATTTGGGCACTTCTCGGATTAATCCTCCATGAACAAATTAAGACACTGAAAAAATGGCTGAAGAATCAGAGAAGCGATTTCAGGACGCCATGGATAAGATCTTTCGAACTCCTCCTAAATCCAAACTCAATTCCAGGTTCCCTTTTCCTTCTCTTTACAATTTTATTTTTTTGTTTGTAGATTTCATGATTGTTGTTACTTTCAACTTTGAGCTACGGGTCGGTGATTAATTTGGTTGGTGTAGTGCATCTGGAGTTCAATTGTCAAGAGGCAAGAAGCGTCCGGATATGTCATCAATTGGCAAAACAGTTAACAAGTACAACTTATTAGCTACCAATGGTTCAGGGGAAGCTCCGCCGTGTAGACCATGGGACCGGGATGATTTGTTTACAAGGATATCAACTTTTAAGTCTATGACTTGGTTTGCTAAACCACAGGTTCCATATTTTAATGCCGATTATGATATGAACTTCTTAATTTAAATGTTGAGATTTACTTTACATATATAATCTTTTTTGAGCCGATGGTCTATCCGGAATAGTCTCTCTATTTACCGCATGTTGTTGTTGTAATACTTGCATACATAATACTTACTAAATTAAATACTACTACATCCCTGAGATATACAGACTAAGACTTTTTTTAGAGTTTCACCTGGAAAGGGCAGTTCAGCTTGAGCAGGTAAGGTGGATGGGGTATAAACGGGGCAAGTGGAGGAGGTAGAACCCCAACCGACTGAGTAACTTTTGTTCAAATAGTGTATTTGTGTTGAGTTGTTCTGAAAATCTAGAACCCAGTTATTAGCACTTATAATCATCGTTCTAAAAATCCAGAATCCATTAAGTTAAAATCTTGTGGTTGGGGGACAGAATGGTGGCCTTCCCGCACCCCATTGCCAAACCTAAGTAACAAACATGTAATGCCTCAAGGGAACAGAAAATAAACTTTCTTTTATGCTTCTTCACCATATTCTTTTACTCAGTTGTTCTTGTAATAGAGAAGCATAATTATTTAACATGTAATGCGTCAAGGGAACAGATAACAAACTTTCTTTCTGTACCTCTGAATGATAAGATTTTTCTCAGTTGTTCTTGTAATCAAGAAGTATAATCATTTAGGACAACTCCAAAGCTAATTGTTGTAGTTGACTGCTTGAGCTTATACAGGCTTTGATCCTTATCCTAGGAGATTATTCGTCATAGATTTTTTAGTGTGTGTTTCTTCTTCCTTTAGAACGTATCATCTCTTTTACATTCCTATTATCCACTTATTTCTTCTTTATGTTCTTGTAAAGATTAGGTTTACATCTTTCCTTTGAAAAAAAAGCATCTTTCCTTGTATGATTTTCCTTCTGCTAATCTATTTGTACAGAAAACTGTCTCCACTCTGCCATGTTGTAAATCTTATACCACAATGCTTTTGTTCCTTGGCAGGCAATCAGTGCTGTTAACTGTGCTAGAAGGGGTTGGATCAATGTGGATATGGATACCATTGCCTGTGAAGCATGTGGATCACGAATGCTCTTCACTACTCCGCCTTCTTGGGCACAACAACAAGGTAAGCTATACATCTTAACTATGTTTGTGGCATTTGATATCTCACTATGTTTCTTAAAACAGAAGCACTTGGTCATTGTTACCTCATTCTCCTTTTGTAACTAATTTGTGCTTCTCATTTCATGGTTCTCCCATTCTTGGGCATCAGTTGACAAAGCGGCCTTGGTGTTCAGCTTGAAGCTAGATAGTGGACACAAGCTACTTTGCCCTTGGATTGACAATGTCTGCGATGAAAAACTAGCAGAGTTTCCACCTATGGCTACTGTTGTGCTTGTTGATCAGTATAAAATTCGGCATTCTGTTCTATCACAGCTTGCTGCTCTTCCTGTGATTTCACCTAAGGCCATTGATTTCTTGAGAAACCCTCAGCTAAAACAATTTCTACGAGAATCTTTACCTGTGGAACGTGATGAATCCATGCAAACTCCCCAAGAAGAAACCAGAAATGAACCCACTTCAGTTTCTTCTCTCACATATTATCAGGTATTAAAGGAAATGTGAGCATGTAGTTTTTCGTTGCTGGTGAATGGTGACAAGTACAAAAGTGCTGCTAACCCTTACTGGACTTGATCTCTCTGATTTAATAAGTATGATGGCAAGAGTTAGTGCCCAAGTGTATATCTTGCTATCAAAATTTGTCTTATCCATTTTCCAGTTGATTGCCAACCCTATATCCCTAGGTTCTTTTCTTTTTGAGGGGAAGGGGTGGGGGTTGAGAAATCTTAGAATTATCACGAGACTTTATTGTTCTTCTTCTTCTTTGGGGAGCGCAGGTGGGGGAGGTGAGCAGGGTCTATATCCTATCAAACTATAAATCTAATTTCTTGGCTTAGACTTATCTAAAATATTGTATGAGCTAATTTTTTTTAAAATTAATTGCTTTTGTTAGATGAAGTAGTTATGTTTGTCAATTTGTGGTTTTTGATATGTGATATATTGAGTCACAATTTGTGGTTTTTGATATTGTGATATATTGAATCATGTTTAGGCACAAAAGCTCATTAGCTTGTGTGGGTGGGAACTCCGCAGACTGCCATATTTGGTTGACCCCAAGGATCAACTGAATCAATCTAGTAAGGATGCCAATCTCTCAGATATGTCTATTTTGAGCAGAAAAAGTCAGACTATTACTTTCTACAGTTCATGTACTGATAAGACTTCTGAGAGCAAGCGAGATGATGACAATCAAGCTTCTGAAGAAGCAGTAATCAATCCAAATTCTGTTGTTCTCGACTGCAAATTTTGTGGGGCTTGTATTGGTCTATGGGATTTTTCCATGGTTTCTCGGCCTTTGGAATTTCTACGAGTAAGTGGATACACACAGGTCAACAATGACCATATCAATCACACCGACAGTGATAAAAATCTTCTCTCAGGCAACAGTGATCGTGATGAGAGTAGAGAATGCATAGGACAAGTTGCAACTTCTGCTAACACTATGTTAGATAGAAGACCACCAAATTTCAACTTGACGATTGCCGGTGGTCCTCCTCCAGTAACACATAATTATAGGGCAAAAATATCTCTGCCAATCGTTGGACGGAATTTGAGAGCATGGTTTATTGCTGAATCTGAGCTCAAGGATGATTTAGTAACCAAGAGCTCATCTGGTGTATGCAAAAATCCAGAGTTTCTTGCAGGAGAAAATACTGAGGAAGGAACTTCACTGTCTACTTCGGAAGTGATTACAGAAGCTCAACCCGAAAACAACCAGGCTGCAGCACAAGTTTCTGGTAACACCACTGAAATGGCTGATAATGCAGAAAGTATGAACAAGGTTGATCCAGCAGTCACGGATCATTGTAAGGACAAGGTTGGAAATGATTTTGGATCATCTAGTCGAGGTAATTCAGTTTATTGTAAATTGTATAGTATTCTATGATCCTGAATGCCGATTAGCATTGGCACTGTTGCAATTTGTGTAGTGTTCTATGATCATGCTTGCCGATCATTGGCACTGTTGCAATTTGTGTAGTGTTCTATGATTATGCTTGCCCATTAGCATTGGCACTGTTGCAATTTGTTCCATGAAGTGGATTTAAAGTGGCAATTGGAGGGTGAACCAAGTTTGTTAGCACTTTAGCAATACAGATCCAGTTTCCAGAAATGTCCAAGTTTAACCTAGTTTTTCAGCATTTTTTAATATAGTTCCAGTTTCATGAAATGGTCCAAGTTTGGTATGCTTGCGTTGAAATGCAGATCGGACCTGCATTGCTGTCCAAGGACTGTTCAGTCTCTTCTTATTTTGAACATCTTTCAAAAGGACCATATGAAGTGCTAGGCTTCATCTTCATTTTGGTATTCTCTTTTATGTCCATGAATCAGTAGTACAACACCTATCTACATTCTTCTGTCTATCCAAAGACCACACCTCATTGATGCCCAAGTTTTTCAGTCTTCTCTAGCTTCAAGTCTAGGCAGGCCCCTTCCTTATTCCGTGATCTCATTTTGAGTTGCATCATGTTGCCTCTTTCAGTATTTTATCTGCTTTGCCGATATATCAGACTTATATGCTTGGGAAAGAGATTTTTCAACCAATATACAATTTCACAGAAGTATCACTTTTTCATGCAGAAATTCTTCTGATGAACAGCACTCAGCACTCTTAGTATGTATACTTCAATTTTAAGTGTTTAAGGAGGTACATCTCCCTGCATGCTGCAAATGCAGTATCCTAATGCTTTTCTGTTTGGCGTCCGGGGTGGGGGTGTTAATATTGTTAGCAATAGAAAAGAAAAAGGAGGTGTATTTTTTTTATGTTGAGCGTATAAGTGTAACTGACAGACTATGTTATCTTTTCAGGGAAGGAGTTGCCAATTCTATCCTTAGATAAAACTTTGGAGTTTGATCCATTCAAGCTACACAGATATTTTTGCCCCTGGATAGCATCTAATGGTGGCTCTCCACCAGGATGGGAACAAACATTATCTGCTTTAGAACGTCATGATGAATCTTCTTCTCCTTTGTCCAATCATGCTCCATCTTCCTTGATTAAGGTAAGGAAGTAGTAAACTAGTACTAATAGATAAAGTAAGCATGTCAGTAAGGATAAAGACATGTTGTTAGTTAATTATAGTAGTAATTGGGCTAGCAAAATATGAAGCAGATAACAATCTGTAGCTAATTAAAGCAAACCTTATTGGTCACATTTAGGTTGGTTTCTGGCAGATCTATTGATGAATGCTGCTCCTTCTATTCCTTTACAAAAAAATCAGTTTCATCATGCCCTTGACTTGGATAACTACAATTTGAGGTTCTTGGATACATAACTTGAGAACTTGAGGCAAGATCATTTACATTAAACTAGTGATGTTACTAATTCCAAAAAAAAAGAAGCATTTGAATACTGCATATGTACTTCAGAGAATTGAATCCATGCTTAGACCAAGCATAATTCAGAGAATTGAAGTTGTCAGTGTTGTCTTTTTGTTTGCTGATAATTGAAAACGATTTATCAGCTGATTTTATAGCTCATTTAATTTGTCAAAACTTTGCTTGGGCGCAGCTGTTTATTTGAATTTAATGTTTTAGTTTATAGTGGTGTTGGAGGAATTCTATCTGGTGAGTTGGCCCTTAAAACCCATTGGTAGTGGTTTGTCTGTGGTGTTTGAGACAGTGCAAGGATAAGCTTCCTTTTGATCTGTTGATACCAGATGGTCCGAGTAATGCAATGAATGGAAAAATTCTATCGCCGGAAAGCAACTGACTTATCTTGTTTTGGTCGTATGCAGGTGGATGATCCTCTTGCTTCAGTGCAAAAGCTTTTTACATCTCCACAGGCTAAACGAAGGAAGCTTGTTCGTCCAAGTTAATTCAACAAAGTTATCCATGTGATGGAGTACACCCCATGGTTCACGAGGAAAAAAAATTTCACCGTTAAGACTGGGTGATAAGATCACCTTCCCGGTGGAGACAATTTCTGCATCTTATTGCCTATATTTTACGTGGATGTTAAAACCATGTGCTTTGAAGAATACTCTAGATGATGCACCTCTGTTCTAGGCTTGTTGTAATGGCTAATTAGCAAGACATTGTTTCATAGGATTTTTCCGACGTGAGCCAGAGAGACTTCTTGTATTATTGACTAGTTATTTGGAAGAGGATTGTAATCTGCTTTTTTTAGACAGAGAAAGTAAACAAGGGGAAGACACCATTATTACCATTGTTGTAAGCTTTCTGAAGAGAGGTAAAAATTTCAGGAGGAATTTATTTTGTACACTTTTATTTGAGCAGTTCTTCCTCTTAACAGAAATGGAAGGACAAAAATCTCTCAACGGCATCTTTGATCATTCCATCATGCCGCAATTTGTTATTTTCACCTTTGAGTAAGGTCTGTTGAAGCCTCTCTCTGCAACTACAGCTCTTTTATCTCCTATCAACTTGGCCGCCCTGTCGATAAAACCGGAAAATTGGTTGGTTATGTCTTGGATATACTATGATTTTCTTAATTGGTTAGTCTATTTTATATGTTCTTGTTTAGTGGAATATCATTAGTAGCCACCTGAACTAAGTGATTGGGAAATTGCCAGTACCTGAAATAAGGAGAACTTGTATTCTCTTTCACAGTTTTGACTTGGCCAAGTTTCTCAACAACATCCATCCCCTCCAAGACACTCCCAATAACTAAAGCAGATGCATCTAACTCAGGTGAGTCTTTGAGGGCAATAGTAAACTCTGTTCCATTCACATCTTTTCCCACTTCTTCTTGATCGATTTCGAGCTTCCCTCCTCGAGCAACCAGCTTCATCTTTGGAGGTGGTTTTGAAGGGTCTCTTACAATAAGGCTAACACTTGTTGCTACGTTCTTGGTGCCCTGGCACATTTCACTCTGTTTCTCCCATTCATCTACGAGGTTGTCGATTGCCATTGTTCTTCCAGTATTCTTGGCAAGTTCAGCATCCACTCCATATGATCTCAATCCACCATGTTGTACATAATTTGGCATTATCCTCACAAAATCTTTTCTTCTATAACTAACTCCTGCTGCTCCACTAACAAGATTACTGAACCTTGATGAGCCAAATGGGGCACTATCACCATATAACCCGATAACAATCCTTCCTATAGGTTCCCCATCAACTGATACTTCAAGAAATGCTCTCTTTGTTACATTCTGATTTGAACAATATTCAATTTTTCTTGAAGGTTCTTGCTCTGGTTCTGTTTTATCGGGAGGAAGTTCATCTGCTCTTGCCCTTGATAGATTCAATGGCTCAATAGCTTGGGATCCTAATAGTAAAAGCAAGGATGAACTAGTACTGATGGCAAGTTCTCTACGCGAAAATTTGATACATTTGCTAATAGTTGTGGCTTGAAGTTGTTTAGGAGGAAGAGGGGTTGATGGAGGCTGAAGAAATTGAGCTGAAGACTGCATAATTTACTGATTTTAGTCCCTTTCTGCCTCTCTAATTGTTTCTCAACATTTCAAATAGGTGGAAGAAGTCTGTTTTTCTAAAGTTTGATTCTGTGGATAGAAACAGCAGAAGCCAATCCCCTAATTTCTAATACTATCATGCTACTGGTTTATAAAGACTTGACTGGGCCATCCCTTTTCACTTGGCTCATTTGAGCATCATTCAACTTAGAATAACTATTTTTTAGGGAATTAACATGTGGTATAGTGGTAGGATTGCTCCACCTTTAATCAGAGGTTTCGAGTTCGAGCCATGGGTATGAGAAAAATTTTGTTGGGAGCGCCACTCCCGAATGAGCCTTGTGGTATGCGATCTGAATTTCGTCGGGACTCAAGACACTGGGTGGAAAACCAAAAACAACTATTATTTAAATAGCCGCCCAAAAAAAACAAATGATAAAAAATACACCTAAGTAATCTGTGGGATATAATTTCATGAGCTAATTTTGTCACCTCTAATTGGTATAAACTAGAAAAAGTCATAAACATCTATCAATACTCAGGTCAAAATGTTAGTTACAACATACCTTACTAGTGAACATGTCTGCTCTTTGCATTAAATGATAGTTACATACCTTACTAGTGAACAAGTCTGCTCTTCGCATAAAATGTTAGTTATATATATATTATTAGTGAACATGTCTACGCATCACGTGATTGTATAAATATGACAAATTAAGTAAATAAAAAGAAAAAAACTTGTCGTGATCATATTAGCTAAAGAATAAATACGTAGTTTATATAAATTTCTTTCCTTTTAAATGGAGCTTTTTATTTTGAAGAATGTTAATAAAACCTAATGTTGCAATATACCTAAAAGAAATTCTGTTTTGGAAAGATTAACCTTTAAAAGTATAGTATTTATCATAACTTCAATATTAAGATCTTTTCCTTTTATTCTTTTCCACATGATTTTGCTGGAAAGAGATTTAATTTATAAAGTAAAAAACATCAAGAAATATATATCGACATTAATATTATTTGTGACCTTAGAAGTTGAGTGAATAAACATCGAAGACAGTGATGGCTCTATACATCTCAAATTTTCCAATTATCTAAATAATCATTAAATGATTGAATTTTCACATGTTCACAATTTTTTTAATGAGTGTATTGATCATACATTTGGAAAAAACAAACTAAAGTGAAAACAATTACTTGTTCATCTCTCATAATTATAGCTTATTAAAATTATTGTATATACTATATAGTCCTCATTACATCCTATGATTGTCTACAAATAATTACAGAGTTCAACAATATATTTATTAAAAAAAAAGTAAAAAATGAAGAGACTATGAACTTTTTTTTCAATAGTTTTAGTTGGTCATCATAATTTTATGCCACTAAATATGTAAAACAAACAAATTACACACAAATCAAACAGCTCTAAATACATGTTCTTATCCAAAGATGTTTATATCAAATTTTCTGGACATAAAAAATAAATGAACCACAAAAACACGTTAGAGATGTACAATCTTTCACTTTGATCATCATCCAACTTAGAACAATTTTTTTTTTAAGGAGAATTAACTTAAATTATAGCCACTCGTAAAATAAAATAGATATAGATGTATAATATATTTAATTTTCGATCTAGTTTTTTTTATGTTCATCCGTTTATTAGGTAGTAAAATTGAACAAATAAAACATTTCATCTCTTTTAATTACACTCACTAGTCTCAATAAGTCGTAAAATCCCACACATTTTATACTTGTAGTTGATACGATTAATTAAAGGAAATAACACATTTTATATAATTAACTTAACCACCTTATACACGAATGAAAATACATTTTTTTCAAAATATAAACTAAAAATATCTAATTCAAATACTTTATTCTATCTAAATAAAATGTTTTGAAAGTTTAATAGCAGTTTGAATCCAATCCCTAGTTTTATGAAAAAAACAAAAGAAGGTAAAGAAAAAACCAAAATCTCACGTGGGAAAGCACACAATAAACAAAAGAGGAAAATTAGATGAGGAGGGAAAAACAGGTCATTACATAAATACAAATATACAAAATAGGAAAAGAGGCTAAAACAGTGCTTCCCTCGCATTTGACAAGTGCTCAAATAAAACGTGAAATGGTTTTTTCTTCTTCTTCTTCGTTCGGATTGTTGTAATCTCTTTTCTATAAATTGATCGGTACCGATTTATTAGGTTTTCACTTCTCTCATGGCAGCAGCAGCAACAACCGGCATTCATCAGAGAGCAGCTCCGGCAAGGACGGCCGAATTAAGGATCGGAGCTCTTATTTCTGTCACTTCGATATCTGATATGCGCTATGAAGGATTTTTAGATGAAATTAACCCTCATAGCCTTGGTCTTCAATATGGTATACATTTTTCTCACTCTTTGCTATGTTTTTATAACGTTGCATTGGTTATTCTTAGTAGTTTATTTTGTGGTTTGATCGGGTTGATTTTGAGTTGTTTTTAATTTGTATAAAACTACTGAGAAATGCTCCTTCGCTCACTGAGTATCTGATTTACTCTCTTTTTTTCGGTTGGATCGGGATGTTTTGATAGCTCTTCATTGGTTATATGTAAGGATTTTTGTGGTTTTGAAGCATCAATTTGAGTTGTTTTTGTACAAAACCACACAAAAATAGTCATTTCCTCATTTTGATACTACTTTTTGTTCTTTTTTTGTGGTATTTGTATGTTTTGATAACTCTTAATTGGTTATCTCTGGACTGATTCTTAGTGATTTCATGGTTTTGAAGCATCAATTTTGAGTTTTTTTTTTGTTCAAAACCCCTTTCCTCATTTTGATACTACTTTTTGTTCTTTATTTGTTGTATCTGTATGTTTTGATAACTCTTCATTGGTTTTCTGGACTGATTCTTAGTGACTTCATGGTTTTGTGGTTCTATAGCATCGATTTTGAGTTGTTTTTGTATTAAACCACACAAAAATAGTCCTTTCCTCACTCTGATACTACTTTTTGTTCTTCTTTTTGTTGGATCAGTATGTTTTGACAACTCTTCATTGGTTATCTGGACTGATTCTAAGTGATTTCACGGTTTTGTGGTTCTATAACATCGATTTTGAGTTGTTTTTGTACAAAACCACACAGAAATAGTCATACTCTCACTCTGATACTACTTTTGTTCCTTTTGTTTTGTTGGATCAGTATGTTTTGATAACTCTTCATTCATTATCTGTACTGATTCTTAGTGATTTTGTGGTTCTTTGGGGTCGATTTTCAATTCTTTTTATTCAAAACCACAGAAAAATAATCCTTTCCTCACTTTGATACTAATTTTTGTTCCTTTTTTGTTTTGAATCTGTGTGTTTTGATAACTCTTCATCAGTTATCTGTATGGATTCTTAGTGGTTTCGTGGTACTATAAACTCATTGTGAGTTGTTTTGTACAAAAGTCACACAGAAATAGTACTTCTCTTGTTGTTGTTTTTTTCCAGTTAATATGGCCATTGGGTGATTTTTGGAATTCTGTAGTGATTTTGGTATGTATGTGTGTGTGTTGTAAGAGTTTCCGGTGATCAACACTGACAAATTGGATCATCTAGTGACAGCTACCATTGCAAATATCATCAGTTAATCGTATTTGTTGGTGCTATTATTGAAGTTCTATTGGGAGCATAGACAAAAAAGGCAAAAAGATGCAATTTATCCTAGAAGGAAGAATTAAAGACCAGTTGGTTTTGACAAAAAAGAAAAAAAATCAATCACTTGGTTTACAAGATGGGCGATGTATCTCCTCTAGGAAATAAAAATGGCAAAGAAAGTGTAGACAAGGAAAATATAGGATAATTGTAAGAAGCTTCACAAAAGAAAGAAAAAAAAGAAGCTTCACACTACTTTGTTAGGGAAAGCATAAACCCTAACAACACCAAACAACTTGCTAGAGAAGCCAGTTCAATTAATTAAGAATCTTTACAAATTCAATGTCACCTTGGGAGTTCACCAAATTAGGAAGCAAAAACCTTAGTAGGGATATTTTCAATTATTTAAAAAATGTTTTTTAGTATTTTTTTTGTTTCTTTTCGAGGTAGGAGTATGGTCTGCGTACACTCTACCCTTTATTTAGCTCTATACCCAAACTTCCATTCTCAAATAACGAATGGATCAATGTTTGAAATTTACTTGTATTTCGTAATAGTTCCTCATACTTTGGATCACAGCATTCATTATAGAATGGAGGGAATAACATTTTTCATATTTATTTAATATGAATATTTTCCCTACTAGAATTCTATTCCTAAATAAGCTCATCTTTCTGTAAGTGCATAATTTTAGATTAAGTTTCTGAAGCTTTCAGTTGTTTTGAAGCTTATCGTCAATATTGAAGTAGAATATGGTTACAAATGTATAATAACTTCTCCAATTACTAATTGGAAATAAAACACTTTTTTCTGGAAAGAAGTTAACAAATATTTTGCTGCAAGCAACCAAATAAAGAAAGTGAATCTTTTATGTACTTGTCTCCATTTAGTTAAGTAATAAGATGATTTCTAGTTCCTGGATTTTGTTTTTTGTTCATCTATTAATAATTTTAAATATATCTAGTGTAGCTGCTACTGACAGTAATTCAGTTGTTTGTCCAGATTTATGTATTAGTAAGTATTGGAGGCGTAGAACACTCTTCTCATGTTGAATTGTCTTCATATCATGTACCCTTTTGATGCATAATTATATAATCTATATCTGGCTGCAGTGAAATTCTTTGGGTCGGAAGGACGCTTGAAATATAGCCCTCAGATTCCTGGACGGGACCGAATCTACGATTATATATACTTACGCGGAAGCAACATAAAGGTGAGTTTTTCAGTCTTCATCAGTCATTTGAACATTCAGATAAAATTTGTTAGTTTGTTCCTTCCTTGAAAATTCTGTTGTATTCCCTAAAACAAATTTGGTAATCTATGATCCCGACCCCAACTTTCTTGGGATGGAGGCTAGTTGTTGTTGTACATCAATATGGTGTTAGTTACACGGCCAAAAGAGTTCAGTACAAGTCCTTTGGATAGATGTTGAAAGTGGAGAATATCCCATAATTCTGAAGCAGAACTGCGTTGCGGTATTGGAAGTTTGTGGCAGCCTGT